CTTGGATTTTTAGCGTTTCAACGTGAAAACGCTTGTCCGAAAACGTTTTTAGCATTGAGAACGTTTTCGTCATAAGATGACGTTTTCATCCGTTTTCGTGTGGACACGGCTTGAAAACGACACTTTTTGAAAACGTTACAGCTGAAAACGCTGGAAAACGTTACCGTGTGCACATAGTCTCAATCACTTTACTTGCTACACACGTAAAAACGCACAAGTTGTAACAAACCTGCAGCAGACTTGTAGCAATGCTGTTGCAACAACTTGTCAACATGACGTGTTCGCACTGCTTGTTCCCAGCTTGTTGACAACTTGCTACAAGGTTGTTGACAACTTGTCACAAGGTTGTTGGGCTCAACAGACTTGTTACAAGTTGTTCCAACAACTTGTTATCGTCCTGCAATTTACAAACTTGTCAGCAAGTTGTAAGTGACAACCTTGTAGCAACTTGATAAAATAACAGCATTGTTACAACTTGTTGACAAGCTTGCTACAAGCTTTTTGCGAACACATCTTGTTGACAAGTTGTGAGATTTTTCCGTGTGCACTAAAATACAAAGGCCAGTCAATCAGTCGGTTTGTCTGGTTGTTTTGTGTGTCAGCCATGCAGTAATTTTAGTCATTTTCAGCTTGATGCATGACAAAATATAATATGACGACTTTTTTTACCTGTGGCGGGATTTTACGAGGGATTTTATGCACATTGTTTTAATACTCTTACCTTTTTCAGACGGAAACGGCAGAATACCAATGAAACACAAGTCAGCGAATCTAGGAGAAAAGGTCACCTTACATCCTGCTGTACCTAATGCTAACAACGAAAGCCATATATGGTTATTGAATAATTGTCGTATTGGCCAAATACAACCGGGACAAGAGCCTGTTGTTTACGATCCGAACTACCAACTAATGGATAATGGTGATTTAAAAATCTCAAAGATGACGAAACAGTTGGAAGGCGAATATGAACGTGTAGGTGATCCCCCCATTTATCTTAGAGCAAAAGGTATATGGAAAAAATAAGAATTTTTCATCTAATAAATTTCATCTAAATTTAAAAGCACGTTTATGCATCTTATTTTCTTTTTTAACCTATATACGCAGATGCTATTGTGACTGATGTCAGCAGTACATATAAAGCGGAGAAGATCATTGACGTTGGAATACAAAATAAATGGAATATCACTTGCCACTGTGATACAAAGTGTGATGGTAACTGTGAAGCTAAGATTGATAAAATGACGTTATGTTTTAAAAAGCCAGACGATGATCAATGCACAAATCTTGCAAATGCAACCATTGTTTCAAAACCTGAAACCTGTGAAGCTACAGTAACGTACATCCAAACAGTCCAAACTTCAAGAAACACTGATTTGAAGTATTTCGTTAAATTTCCACAAATCCATGTCTCCGATTTTAGACCGGGGAGTAGTCGTGAAGTAGACAGTCAAACGTTTTTACTTTCACAAGGTAAATGTTGCACGGTCCAGTATATTATGGCTTGAAATTACTGTACACATGCATTCATTTCTAAGAATATTCATGTGACGTAACCTTTCAAATTTTATTTTATCTTATTAATTATTCATGATTTCACATTTTTTATTTTGTAGTCACAATGTAATACACCTTTCGATAATTACGTCACAACTACACTGTTTTCAACTTAGGACCACCTTAAATGGAATGGAGAGAAGCAGAACATCCTTCTTCAACACAATCATAAAATTTTTTTGGATTTTTACCAATAAATGTGGAAATAAGCTTTAACACGAAAACGAGTTCTGCTTCCCTCCCCATAGCCCGTGAGAAACAAAGTTGAAATCCATTCCATTTAAGGTGGTCCTAAGTTGAAAACAGTGTAGTTGCGACGTAATTACCGAAAGGGTGTATTGATATTAATTTCATTTCTCAAATATATTAGCACCATCAACTGAAGAGAATCCTACTCCAAAGTCAAACACAGTTTCAACGATAACCCGCAATCCAGGCCAAAAAAACGCCGAACAGTCATTAAAACCAACCAATACGCTCTCAATGACCAGCGGGGTAGAAAGCAAATACACACAACCACCATCAATAAGTACCAACAATCAACCTACACCGCGTAAGTGTAAAGAGTCGTGTGAACAAACTGATGATTTTTTATTTTGTAGTCACAATGTATTTGATATTATTTCATTTCTTAAATGTATTAGCACCATCAACTAAAGAGAGTACACACCCAATAACGAATCCTCCCGCAAAGTCAAACATAGTTTCAACGATAAACCTCAATCCAGGCCAAAAAACCACCGAACATCAACCATCAACAAAAATCAACCAACCTACACACCGTAAATTTTCGTGTGAACAAACGCATGGCGATTGCAGAACACCTGTTATTGTTTCTATATTTGCAGCTGGTGTTGTAATAGGAATAGCAATAGCGATAGGTTCTTTTTTCATATGGTGGTATTGTCGTAGATATAGTTCTGCAAACCTAAATACGCCATGCCAGGCACTGCAACTACATGCGCCGTCTACCCAAGATCTTAATGCCAATGCCGGCAATGTTAATCGGCTGTATGTGCTTTCTAGTGAAAATCCAGACGCACGAGATAATGCAGAGCATACAGAGACCAGGGAATAAATAAATAATTAATTATTGAACTTAATTTAATTAATTTAAAAATTATACATTAGCTTAAATAATTAAAGATACGCTTTGATATATGCACATTTTGTCTTCAGAAAACTTTTTCTGACGCCCCTTTGGGGTTAAGTATATATAATATATACTAGGAGTTACTATCGCAAGGAAAATGCTGCCGATATGTACATGTAGGATGTGCTACAAAAAGAGCGTTTTTCACTGTATGTATGATTTATTGTCTTACACATCGTCGTTCCTCAGTTACCTTCATACAATTATATCTTACATCTAATCTTATGAAAAGTATATTTTAATATACTTAACAGTGCGACTTTGATAGTTGACACATAATATAAATGATAAAATGTGAATATTATTGAATGATTTTGTCACTCGTACAACTTGTAATTTGGCTATTCAAACAATTGATTTAAAATAGTTGAATTTATACTTACTGGGATGTTATTGCTTATTGGGATGTTGAAATTATGTTTGTTTTAAATACATTTAATTGA